CAGGGTGCGCGCGGAGGGGGTGCAGGGGGTGGGGGATGGGACAGGGTGTGTGCGGAGGAGGTGCAGGGGGTGGGGGATAGGACAGGGTGCGACGCGGAGGGAGGTGCAGGGGGTGGGGGATGGGACAGGGTGTGTGCGGAGGGGGTGGGGATGGGACAGGGTGCGCGCGGAGGGGGTGCAGGGGTGGGGGATGGGACAGGGTGTGTGCGGAGGAGGTACAGGGGGTGGGGGATGGGACAGGGTGCGCGCGGAGGGGGTGCAGGGGGTGTGAGGTGGGACAGCGCGCGCGCGGAGGGAGTGCAGGGGGTGGGGATGGGACAGGGTGCACGCGGAGGGGTGCAGGGGGTGGGGATGGGACAGGGTGTGTGCGGAGGGGGTGCAGGGGGTGGGGGATGGGAATGTGTGTGTCACCCGGTCTTTGCTCTCCAGCCCGGGGCTGCAGTCCTGAGTTCTGCTCAGTGTCGGGATCCCCCTTCCCTTCCCCCGAGTCCTGCGGCAGCCCCCCCGCTCCCCGTCCCTGCCCCTGGGTAACCTGCCGCGCCCCTGTCCCCCCAGGCCCATGACCTGCAGGAGCTGCGGCGAAGCGCCTCGCTGGCCACCAAGGTCTTTGTGCAGCGGGACTACAGCGACGGGACCCTCTGCCAGTTCCAGAACAAGTTCCCCCTGGAGCTGGACAGCCGGGTAGGGAACGCGTTGCCCTGTGCGCTGGCACGTGGTGGGGCTGGGAGGGGCAGAGCAGGGCCAGGCAGAGCCTCGGGCGAAGGCCCCTGTGACAGGAGTCCCGGGGGCGCCAGGCTGAGCTCACTCAATTAGGGTGAAGTGCACAGGACGGGGCAGACAATCCCCAAACTGGTGGTTATTCTACTACTTGGATTCCCCAAGCCAGCACCCAACCAGCTGCTGTAACACCTCACTGGTTACCCGGAGCCACCCCCAGCTCCCTTAGCCACCCAGCCTTGGGCTCCCACCCCGACACCCAAACCAAATGCAACGAGCGTTACTGAAAATCTTCATCACCAGGGCCGGCCCCAGGCACCAGCTTACCAAGCGAGTGCTTGGGGCGGCCGCTCCGGAGAGGGGCGGCACGTCCAGCTGTTCGACGGCAATTCGGCGGACGGTCCCTCACTCCCGCTCGGAGCGAAGGACCTCCCGCCGAATTGCTGTCGCAGATCGCGATGGCGAGCGCGGCTTTTTTATTTTATTTTTTATTTCATTATTTTTTTTGTTTGGCTGCTTGGGGAGGCCAAAACCCTGGAGCCGGCCCTGTTCATCACATAGAAAGTTCTACCAATCGCGGAGGATCGGACGCCTCACGCACCAGGTTAATGACGGCTTAGATCCTGCCAAATACAGGCTGCCAGCCAATGCTTATTAACGAGACTAAAATGTATTAAAGAAGAACAGAGCGAGAGTGCTGGTTAAAGGTCATTAAACCCCCGGACACGAGTTATAGTCCAATCTCGGGGCGATCCAGACTGGAACTGGGGACCTCAGGCCTCCCCTGAAGATAACAAGGCCATGGCCGAGGGCTCCCTGGCAGGCTAAGGCACCCCCTGGCAGTAGAATCCCCTATTTCCTGTCTACACCCGGGTCGTTAGTTGCATTGATTAGCAGAAGGCGATGAGCCATTCCAGCAGTTCAGAGACAGTTTGCTACAAACTTCCAAGCGCAATAGAGCCAGTGACATTCTTACATTCAGGTTTGATCTAATGCTACTAACCCCCTTTGATCTCTGACTCTAGCTCTAGTGAGAGACAGGAACCAGCTGTTTCCATGGGGAACGTCCAGCAAGGGAGAAGGAAACACAGACAATGAGTAGCCCGGCTAATTCTCTGGTTTCCAAGCTCCAGTCTATTTCCCAGCCTTTGTTACTGGTTATAGGGACTGGCCCCTTGTTACCATTGACTTCCTTCTCTAACCTGCCTTTGAAGGTTGAATTTGGGTTATTTAGCCTACTAGTTGCTTAACCCTTTCTGGCCCTGTGTCACAGCTCCCCCCCACGCCCCCCCCCCCCAGTTATTCCTGGTGTCGGCCTGGGGCCCTGAGGCTCTGTGGACTTGTGATCCCTGGGCACGGCCAGCCAGCGGCTCTGGGAAGGGCCTCCCCCCCCGCCCCCCGCTAGCACAGATGCCAGCACAGCCCTTGGATGGTGCCCATCACGGACCCCCAGTGTCAGTGTTCAGCAACAGCCCCCGGGAGGCCACCTTCAGGGAGCCAGACCCCCCCAGGGGCTCGCTCTGTCGCTGGGGAAGCCCCTCGGCTTCACCGCCCCCTTGGACCGAGCCTTCAGCACCCCTGGCTCACGCCGTGAGCTCCCTTCAGCGAGTCCACCGGACAGAGACATGGACCCCCAGGGGGCGCAATGCCCCCCCACCTCCAGCACCTGCCGGGGCGCAGCCGGCGCGGTTACAGCAGGGGGTTAGGAGGGGCTGGACCCCAGCTAGGCAGGCCTTGGATAGCACCCTGAGCAGGAGGCTACAGCCTGGTCCAGTTTGGTCAGCCCAGAGCCCCAGCCAAGCAGTGTCCGCCCTTGGCTCCCGCGCTGTGTTCAAATTCCCGGCCAGCCCTAACTGGCTTCTCCTCAGCCCTTTGTCCAGCTGGTCACACCCGGCCGGCTTCCTGTGGGGTGGGGGGGTCCATTGTCTTCATGGGCCCCCCAGTGACCTGGGTCCCAAACCTGAGCCAGCCAGGAACCATTCCCACCTTTCCCCACCACCTAGCTATCCATGCAGCACATAGGGGAAACTGAGGCACACACCGCATGCATACAAAATAGTACAGAAAATTCCCACGCTGGCACTTTCCCCCACCGAGAGCTGCACCCACAACCATGGGGTCTGGGCTGGTGGCAGCTGGGCCTGGCTGGGGGGCAGCTGTCCAGCCTCACGCTGGGCCAAGTCCTGCATGTGCCCATACATCTGTGTGCACAGGCCCTGGCTCAGTGTGCGTGAGCAAACTCGCGGGGGTGGGGAGGTGCCCACCCAGGTGTCTGTCTGTGTGCATGTGTATGGGGGGCACTGTCCTCCCGGGGGGCTCTCTATGGGGCACTGTGATGGCTGTTCCGTGGGTCCCTCATTCCTACCAGCTGAGCTGGTCTGTCTGTGCTTGGGGGTCCTTCAGGGTCAGCTCATTGGGATGTTCACGATGCCCCGGCCCCTGCTGCCGGGCATGGGCTGAGTGCGGCCTGGGCAGGGCTCCCAGTGCTGGCCGGCGGGACCCTGTGTGACCCGCAACACCCTCACTCGGGTTTCTCTGCCCCAGCTCGAGCGGCAGCTCTTTGAGGAGACAGTGAAGACCCTCAATGGCTTCTACGCCGAGGCCGAGAAGATCGGGGGCAGCTCCTACCTGGAGGGGTGCCTGGCGTGTGCCACAGCCTACTTCATCTTCCTCTGCATGGAGACCCACTACGAGAAGGTAGGGCCAGGCCGGGCCAGGCCGGACCAGCAGCTGGGTGCCGAGTGCTCAGCCAGGACCCCCATGGCCACAGAGTCGGCCCGGCCAAAATGCAGGGACAAGGCCGCAGCGCCCCTCCCCCAGGTCCCGCCTCCTGCTCTACAGGGGGCAACGGCTGTATTCTCTGCGGTGACCCCCTCGCTCCTTCCTGGCAGGGTCCCCAGGCGGCTCGGAAGGGAAATTCTCCCCGGGTACCCCCCGGGCCAGCCAGCCGGAGCCTGCCCAGGCAGTGACGTGGGAACACTTTTAACAGTGGGGTGCTGAAAGCCAGTCCCCTTCCCCTGTCCATGCCCCCCTCAGAGCTGGGGCCAGGAGCAGGCTGTGTCTCTGGGGGGGGGGCAGACAGGGGTAAGGGGGCCACTGCTGGGGTTGGGTGCCGAGACCCCGGGCGGGGGGCTGGGAGCAGGGACCCCGGGCGGGGGCTGGGAGCCGGGACCCCGGGCGGAGGGCTGGGTGCCGGGACCCCGGGCGGGGGGCTGGGAGCCGGGACCCCGGGCGGAGGGCTGGGAGCCGGGACCCCGGGCGGGGGGCTG